TCTATATAGTTTGAAATTTTTAAGATATTATGTTGTTTAAACTTTCAATTTACCTATTTAAAAATTTTAAAGTATCATTATCCAGATTCAATGCTTTTGCAAAGCAGGTTGCTTTTTTTTTAATCATTAGTTCTGTTAAGATCATTTCTCTACTAGTAACTTGTTCAACTCAGAGTCTTATTGATTATCTAATATAGGATACTTTACTTGTTTATATCTAAAAATTGTAGAACTTAATTGACTTTCCATAATAGCTAACCATTTTGATTTATCTTTTAAAATTTTAAAAATTGTAGTTCGATTTAAATTTAAGCTAGAGTCTTGAGAATTGAAATGCTTTGCAATATCTACTTGTGTTTTATTAAGATTATTTTCACAATATTCACATATTTCTTGTTTTAAATATTCACTAATAGTTATTCGTTGTCTTTTTTGTGATAAATTTTTAAACATTTTTGCAGAATGCGATAGATAAAGCCAAATACTTAAATAATTTAAAGGATTTATGAAATTAATAGCCTTGCATTTTATTAAACACTTATTTTATATTTAATGAGTAAAAACAAGACTCTGATTATATAAAATTTATATGATCAGAGACCAGTTTTTCCTTGGTACACCCAAATACAATAAGATCTAATCTGCTAATTATTAGAATAGTAAAACTAATGATTTAAGCATTTACTTGCTTGGTGTAAAGTTTTCCAAAAATGACAATTACTTAATTAATATTTAATGCTAATTTGCTATTAACAAGCTTTTATTTTATTTGGCAAAAATCTTATTATTATTTGGATCTCAAATTCATATGATGTAAGAAAGATTAGAAGTTAAAAAAAAAAGAAAATATGTATATATAATATCAAATAAAAGAGGATCAATTTTAAAGACTCTCTATTATTTTGTAACTCTTAAACATCATCTCTTTTTAAATTTATAAAGAGAGAAAATTCTAACAATTCAGTCTTTCATTACAATAATAAATACTAATTTGGCCCTATTATGTTATAAACTCTAAATATTTTGATTACGTATATCTTTATGATTATACATTATCATAACCTAATTGTCTGTAGATTAAAGGTTTATATTCGCTTTTTCTTTTTTTTTTTAAAGCTTATTAGTAATTTACTAAACTACTAATTATTTGTTTTTTCAAAATCAATCTCTTGTCTACTGAATTTGATATCAGAAGTTATTTAGCTTCTCTAAATATAAAATTTACACTTGTATATATGAATTTAAAATCCAAATATGTAGTATTTTGATCTACAATTTTATAAATATCATCGATTTTATCCAGCATTAAATTGATATGTTATGATAATTAAATGTGAACATGTTTATAAACCTGCTTATAATGGTAAAGGCCCTAATTCTTATAATATTACATTGCAGAAATCATGTGAATATTAATTTTGGATTATGAATTGTAACATAATACAAAAAGTAATTGACAACTAGATATGCATATATGAGTACTGCCAAGAAAAACCTGTAAGCCAATTTTGAGGCATCAATAATATCAGCAAATTTATAGGTGCATTACAAAAAAATTTTGCAAATAAGCGCAATAAATTTCGAAATATTTTGAAACATAATATTTTCGAAAATTTTCAGTAAAAATTTCGCAATATTTTATTCAAATTAATTTCAAAATATTTTGAAATAATTAAAATAATTCGAATGATCTACTAAATATTGCAGATGACAAACTACACGTTTATTTTTTCGATCTTTTTTTTTATTTTTTTTCGAACGAACCTACTTT